GTTACCTCAGTGCAAGGCTATTGCAAACTCCCGATACCTCAGCAGAGCTGGCAATATCATTAAGGACTACTCTCACCCCAGTAATCAACTGTTTGAACTGTTACCGTCAGGCCGACGGTACAGGTCACATAAAACCAGGACAAACAGATTCAGGGATAGCTTCTTTCCCAGAGCTATCACCATAGTAAATAAGCACAAAACAATTAAACCTGCTTAACTATACTTGCCATTGTCACTATATTATGCTGCTATTCATACTATCATTATATTATGCTGCTATCCTGTATATATTGTACTTATTATTGTCTGAGTACTACGGTTGTTTTATTGTACTTTTTATATTTTACATTTATATTTATTATTGCATTTTGCACCAAGGGAGTGGCACTCCAATTTTGTTGTACTTTGTACAATGACAATAAAGGCTATTCTATTCTATTCTATTCTATTATGTCTCAATGTCTATGTAGGTTTCATTCAAGTCATAGTAATCTTGAGGGCTTGAAAAAGAAGACAAGGGGGCTACATTTGTGAAGACATGTCGCCTCTCTCATCCAAGAAGCTCCTTCAGTTCTAAAAGAGCTTGTGTAGAGTTCCAGGCAATAAAACCATAGTGGGGTTGTCTCCTTTGGAGGTGGTCGTGAGGGTCGTTAACTCACCAAAGGCATGGGTTATTATCGTCACTGGGGTTAATGGGGGAAATCTCGCTGAGTTATTGCCCTACCCCACCATCACTGAACTATCAAGATGTGATGCCTGATGGTTGGTGTCGTAAGCCAACACCTCCATTCAGTGATTGTCATACAGTCTCTTGTGTGCAGAAAGGCCTTTCTGAAGTTTGTTCTCCTTGTGTCTGTGTGGGTTCCCTCTGAAAACTTGCTAGTTTAGTTAATTGGTGATACACCTAATTGGCAGCAGGTGTGGATGTTAGTCAACATGCGTTAATCCTGTGATGGACCGGCGATCAAAGTACACCCTACATTTTATGGCAGCTGGGATAGGCAACCCTTTATTGGATAAATGGTTTAGAAAATGAATGGATGGATATTTAGTTAAAGCAACTGTAGTGACACTTGGCATAGTCAAGTGGGAAAAGGGCAAACATTGTTCTCTTCAATGCAAATTGCGTCAACAAAAACAGATAAGAAACAGCAGCAAGATCAGTTTACAGATGAGTTACTAGATTCAACAGCTAACAGGTAACTTGAGATAGGATCAGTGAGCATGGGCACAGAGGGACACCATTCATAAGTTCAAAACTTTCTGTTACACAGACTGACGTCATGCTCTACCCACAATGTCAAATTATCCACCATTGTGTGCGGAGGGTGTCAGGCCTGAGATTGAGACTGAAAGATCAATTCTGTCACTGTGTAACACTCTTGGGCCAAAAAGAATCGTCATCCGATGAAAATGTAAATTCCCAAGCTACGATAAAGAGTCTGAGAAGAGAACACTTGGAGCTTTTTGTAGACGAGAGTCACGCCCTCTACTTTACTTTACCACAGTTATGCACTGGCACTGAAATGGCAATATTTCACAGTGCAACACAATTGATCTTGCAATCTCGGTATATTTTGCTTGCACCTCCAAAAGCAACTCCCTCCAACCACAGCCCATCTCAAATGCCTGAATATGTGTCTGAGAAAGAATAGGACAGCCGAGATTAAATTTGCCAATGATCATCGACACAAATACTACAGATTTTGGAGACTAACTACTGCGGTAAGGCAGAAAGGTGTGAATAAGTTTACCTGACACTGTCCAGTCCGGTTAGTTTTGCAACTCTAGGAAATGGATCAGAAAAATTTTGAAGCATGACTTGTCTGTTTGTGGAAGAAGTAGTACAGAGACACTCAGGCTGTGAGGAAAAACTGTACGCTTCAAATGAAGAGAAATGTGCACACATCATCAATTTGTAAGAAAATAATTTATCTTTCACATAGACATGTTATCAGATGCACACATGTCCTAATATAAAAACCGATATTGCCCCATAACTGCTGAATTTGTCAATAAGCAAATGTTAATATCAATATTTATGACTAAAAAGGCACCCAGAGTCTTCTGCCAAGACAATGTGAAAAAAATTCCTACTGATGGTCAAACAACAAACCGATGCACAGTATTGGTCATATGGTCCATTTCATCAGTTGCAGGGGAGCTAACATTTGAAGAAAAGCATTTTTACAGTATAAACTTTATATAACAACCGATGTAGCCACTGTGATGTGCTCCTCTGGTTGAGTAAATCCGGTTTTGAACTTTTGAGCTGAACATTTGATGGTTCTTTAGAATTGCCTAAAAGCAATATGAACGATATTGAAGGAAATCACAGAAAATAGACAAAAAAAAAAAACAAATATTTTGACACCGGTCAAGTCTTGGATAAAAAATAGTTCTAAAATTGAAATTGTGCAGACGTTGAACACCTCAAGTCACCTTCTGCTCAGCACTCTTTTAAGGACCTCATTATAAAACTCAGTGCCTGGTGAATGGTGAATGAACAGGGCTGACATCAAGTTGACGTCACAGCCGTTGTTACAAACTTTCATTTTTGACACAATATTTCTACTGTTGTAGAATATGACATATTAGAGTAACTGAGAGAATCTACTACTAAACACTGGGTTAGGATTATTAGCTAGCTTTGTATGTTTTTAATGGGTTATATATAGACCACACTCCTCATCCACTCATGTGGGGATAGAGATCCCACCTCTAGTTCAGCTGACAGCTATTTGGAGTTGAACACTAGAAGTAGTTGACTGGTGTGAGTTTGAGACCCGTCTCTATAGAGGCAAGACAGGAGGAAAGGAGGGTGGGGATACAGGAAGCCAGGAAGAACACAGTAGCAGCTGGTTGTAATTGGAGATCTTAGTTGAAGAAAAGCACATCTTTAAAGGTGGGTGCAGGGTCTTGACCTTATTGCATCTTGAGGCAGTTGTGATTTGGAGCTATACAAATGACATTTAATTGATTTTAAAGGCAGATAGTTTTATTGGAAGGAGGATCTGTTTTAAATCAGGGCATATGTGGAAATTTTAACATAAGACTGGAGCAGAAACTGTCAAAAGATTAAAACTTTATCGTGCAATTAGAGGGTTGCCACCTGATGAAAGCATCTAAGACCTGAAGAAGATGACACTGAAGGTTGCATTTCCAAGATCTGGTGAGAAAACTCACTGCCTACTAAAGTAAAGCCTATTAAGGTTGATGAAAACTCGGGAAAAGTTAAGAAGATGCCAGATGTGATTGATTGCTTGTTCGTCAGAATGAACACCATTTCCTGTTTGTAACCAGGATGATAACTGTGAGTGTGGTGTCCTTGTGCCCTGGACTCAAGGCCAGAATTACACTCCCAACTCACTACTTCTATTGTGAGTGTGGTGGTTTCCTGCTGGTCACAACTAGAACGTACTTCCTTATTGACCTGAGGCTTTTTTTGCCCACGTCCTAACACTTCCTTAATCAGGGATCACCTGACTGGTCCAAATAGAGATAAAGTCCACATTGGTCTCTGTCCCGTTTTTCTCACCCATCTGCCGCAAGTTCTGACCAAGGAGAGCCCCTTCCTGTTTCAACCATGGGTTATAACTGTTCATTGGAAGACAATCCTGCAGAAATGCTTTAGATTAAAGACCAATATCTTCTATATAGTAGTGAATCTAAAGCACAGCTTCTCATGAACACTTTGGGCTAGTTTTTGAATGCAACAAGATCTACATATATTATTATCCTCTTTAATGTTCATATGGCAGCTTTATTTGCAAACAGTTATTTACGTCAGCGGTCTCCAACCT